AAGGGGAACGACGTCGATAAGGTCACGAGTTTGGTCTTGCTGAAAAGTGGTTTTCCGGCAACAAGTAGCTCAACGATTCCAACCCTTCGATTTGAGTTTAATCATAGTTACTCAAAAAAAGAAGCCGGAAACCAACGAATGGAAGGGTAACTGGATCAATCGACCTTTCGAGATTTACCATTTGAATTGGAAAGCGCGCGTCTGCTATTTTAGGAAGAAACGTGATCTCCATCCGAATTTTATTCAAGAAAGCTCATCACATTGGAATATTCCCATTATCAAACACTTAATACTGTACGTTTAACCGCCGAAGAGATATTTTTTCTTTTGTTTCTAAAACCTTCATTGTCGCAATAGGGTAAATCAACTTAAAGGATGGCGCCTAACACCATGAATACAGAAAATAGTCCTCTTGAAACCCAGGAGCTTGTGAATTTAGCTAGAGAAATTTTGGTGGTTAACTCGAGCAGTGAAGAAGGAATAGAAATCACTCAAAATATAGTAGTTCAAATGGCGACTCCAGAAGGTACAGAGAAACACGCGGAATCGCCGACGGCTAGATTCACAGCAGTCAATGGTAGAAATCAGAATGAAACTTCGCCTACGACCAATGGAAATGGAAATGTTACTAGCACTGGAGTAAATGGAAACGGTGTTGCAAGGAGGGGCTCCGATGAGAGGCCAAATGGACAACCTAGAATTTCACCTCCAGGTCATGAGAAATTGACCATCACAACAACTCAGGATCAAGACTGGTCTTCTTCAAAAAATGGAGAACGTACTCATCTGCCTGATCGCCAAATGAATACGAGCCAAAATTCAAATCATTATTCCGACGACAATTCTCACAAACGTAAAAGATCTGGTTCAATGGATCAAGGTTCATCATCCGCAAATTCATACCACAGCCATGCCCTACCAAATTCAACAAAAGCGACACCAACCACGGCGACTACCGAATCTGATGGGATCAGAGATGATGGAAGTGTTCGAGCAAAATCTCAACCTCATTTAGATTCCAGAGAGACGTACAGCGCAGATTCACAGTACAGACAATTTATGTCGGCAACCGACTCAGCTCGGGATACACCTTCGAATGACTTATGGCATAGTCGTCATTATCCCCAGCATCCCCAAGTTGCTTCCGATGAGCATATTGGAGAGGTATTACAAAGAGCATCTCAAAATCTGGATGCGCAGCAGCATGAGTACGATCGTCGTACACTTTCTGGGGATGATAATCGATATGCTGATCCACAATCTGCATACAGCCAAGAGAGACGGGAATTGTCTGCACAATCAGATCTCAAAAAACGGAAAAGAAATTTCAGTAATAGAACCAAGACAGGCTGTATGACATGCAGAAGGCGAAAGAAGAAGTGCGATGAATCCAGGCCAGAATGTAAATTAATCTTACAATGTTTCGTCGAATTCTACTGACATCTGATATAGGTAACAATTGTCTCCGTGGTGGGTTTGTCTGTTCTGGATATCAACAACGAGGTTCCTATCCAAAGGTCGAAATGAAACAAACTCCAGTTCCATTACAATCCAAAACCGAATACGAGAGCCCTTCTTCATACACGCAGCCATCACCATACGGAAATCAACCTGGAATTCCAACTCGAAGGGAACCATTACCTGGATATCGCGGCCAAAGCTTACGTGTAGATCCTCATAGCAGAGCTATCACAGATGCAGACGATCAAGCAAGCGCAACTACCCTACCTAGTGCTTCCATCACAAGCCCGGAGAACAATCGAATATCTGCATCAGGTTATGGAATCCAACAAACGCCCACTCCTGTGAGTGCAAATAGTGCCCATCCAGATCGTTACAAGAGTGAGTATCCGCGCGTTGGACCTCTCCATGATCTTTCCAGGCAAGAGCCAAGAACAGAGCCGGATACTGGAACACCGCATTCTGCTCGTGAGCCTACTTCGGCTCTTCCAAATCTACTCAATCATCAGATTCACCCCGATAGCCCCCATAGCAGCGCCCAGGTTGCCGCACAACTAGCACTTTCTCATCCTGCAAGTCGACAAAGAACTCAAAAGGAAGAAATGTTAGCTGGCCGTCATTACTTTCCATTTGATAAAGAACTAGTTCTTGAGCGTGAACGTTGCAATACAGCTTGTTGGCGTTTCAACAATAGCACAAATCCTAATAATGGTGTATCACCCGAAGAACGAGCTCGTCAATTCCGTGATATCCTTCAACCACGCGATCATGTCATTTCTCCCACCCAAGCTACGCCTGTCACTCCTGTTGGTAAAGTCGGCGATAATGTGGTCGTCGAAGCTCCATTTACTTGCGATTACGGGTACAATATTAGCATTGGACAAGATGTTGCGATTGGAAAGAACTGCACAATTCTTGATACTTGCGAGGTTAAGATTGGTGATCGTTGCAATATTGGACCAAATGTTAATCTCTATACCGCCACGCTACACATTGACCCGAAGAGAAGACTTGGATCCCGAGGACCAAATCTGGGAAGGAAAATCATCATTCAAGAGGATTGTTGGATTGGTGGTGGCGTAACAATTTTACCGGGTAGGACTATCGGGAAGGGTAGTACAGTGGGAGCGGGCTCGATTGTCACAAGAGATGTTCCACCTTACACAGTGGTTTGTGGAAATCCGGCGAGAGTTATTCGTGGTCTTTATCCGCCACATGAAGGTTAACATAAATTCTGCAAGGTCTCATTATGAAGGATGAGCTAATGGGTTACCTCTTTAATATTCGATCTATCTTTCATTTCATACTTTTCAATTGTATCTAGGGAATTTTTCTTGGAGTTTTCAATTCTTGCTACTATTGTTCGGGCTTAGATCGGGATGGAGATGTGTACGGAATGGAATGGAAAGGGTTGCTTGCTCTGGTAGCTTATGGCGTAGGGAGTGGCTAGCAGGCTAGGATGAATGTTTTAGCTTGTTTTGTTTGTTTATTTATTTATCTGTTTGCTTTTTTGATTAATTGTTTGCGTGGCTCATGGATCGAAGATGGCTGGGGGACTTTTTATGATATACATGTAGGATGATTATGAGGAGGATGAGAGAGGGAGGGAGGGGTTAGAGAATGCATGGTGTGATGCATGAATGCATTGGATGGGAAAAGTATATTGTATTCATCAACTCGGTTGGTTCTCTTCGTTTTCGCTATAAGTGGAATCGACATGGGAATGAAAGCTTATTTAATTTACTTACTTGCATTTATGATTTTATTCTCTCGAACTCTTGGTTTTTTTTTTTTAGAAAAAAATACTGTTGCATCTCTGAAATCTTTTGATTTTTGCTGTTTTGACTGCTGACGTTTGTTAATTATTTTGTTGGTGGGATGTTCGTATGAGAGGGGGGGAGGGGAAAGAGGGGATGGATGCGTTTTACTTGTGGGAAGGAGGAATTTCATTTATTGTTTGGGGTTTTGGGGTTTTGGGGTTTTTGTATGATGATTTGTGTTGGGAAGTTGGGAGTTGGGAAGTTGGGAGTTGGGAAGTTGGGAGTTGGGAAGTTGGGAGTTGGGAAGTTGGAAGGGAGGGAGGGAGTTGGAAGGGGGGGTTGGAGGTGATAGGGGAGATTTATCTTGATTTTGTGATGTTGATGTTTATGATGTGTGATGTGATGTGATGTGATGTGTGATGTGTGATGTGATATGATATGATGTGTGATGTGATATGAGAAGCATGATTATTCGTTTTTTGAGATTTTGAGATTTTGAGATGGATATATGGATAAATAGTTATTTCGGTGCTTGAATGCTGAGTGCTTGAGTACTTCAACAGATAAATCATGAGTTACGGATTATAAATTATGAGTTACGATTATAACTTATAGCTTATAACTTATAATTATTGAAAGAATATTATTTTGATATAATATTTCTTTGTTGTTTGGGGTGTTTTGTATTGGCAATTTAATCCTGATGAGTAGATCAGAGTTAGGATTAGAAAGAGATGAATGGATAGATGGATGGATATATAGATGGATAGATGGGTAGGGTAGAGGAGTTTGGTTGATGAATTTTTGGAATGTGAGGTTGGTGTTTGTATTTGTATAGAGGTAGGGGTGGGTTGTATTGCTGTGGTTGTTAATATGGGAGAGTAGAGTATTTGTATAGATTGCTTGGTTGCTTCAGGAAGATGTTTTTTTTTTCGCTGCAATTCAATGGTATGTTTTTTTAGAGGTAGATCAATAAGGGTGCATGATAGGATAGAAGATTTTTTTATATTTCATTTACACTCTTTATTCACATGTCGGTCAATACACGGTTTCTATAACAGCTGTGTAGTCACAGATAAGTGTGTTTCAAGAGATATATTGAGTCATCTTTGGAATTAGATATGTATCTGCTAGATACAGTTGCATATCAGCGGGACTTTGCTTATAGTCGTTTGAAAACTAGATTTATTATCCTTTATGCGTCTGTTATGATTACGTGTATATGTGTTTAATCATGATGGCGACTGCGAGATATAAATGAACCAGATCGCTACGTTGAATCCCTTATGGTCTCGATTATGTGAAATGGGAATTTTGTTTTATATAGATGTAATTAGTGATGTAGATTCACTGAGAATAAAACATATAATAAAGAAAGATATCAAATGACTCTATGTCAATCGGGATACACTTGAGAAACGGTCGCGGGAACTAATACCCTCAACATATTCAGAAAAAAAGATGCCGGATACTTCCACCATCAACCTCACCTGTTTTGACATAGGCTAACTCCACTTGAAGAACACGATCGGTCAGGCTAGGTGCGAGTTTGATTATCGCTGTTGCAATCATTTGCTATCTAATCACATTTCCAAACACTGCATCGTTTATCCAGATGTGAATAGCAAGAAAATTTTGATGGCACATCATACATTATTTAGCCGCTGTGTACAGTTGAATAAGATCTGCAGAGCCCTATATCCAAAAAAAAAACATTCTAATTTTGTAGCCTCCCATGTGCTAGAGACCTCCTCGACCTGGTTTATATATAAACTGAAACTACTCGATTGGCACATAAACAGAAGGTTCGCCCAAGCGGATATACTTGCCTAGTATGTATCCAACGCCGCAACGTTCGTAAGATGTCGTACTGAGGATGTCTGAGAGTGGCTTGACGATCAAAACGTAATGTTTCTTCATGCTTGCATCATTGACATGATATTTGTCAGTACCAACAAGTACACATTTTGCTGTAACAATTGTTGAGTCATCATAGTATATACATGCCTCATTTCTGCTAGCATTTGCAGGTATATTGAAGTCAAATATTTTGGCTTGGATAGCCACACTATTATTCTCGCAGCTTGTTCGAAGCCATGAAGTTTGATAGCCGGTAAGATTAGCAAATGGTAGTTTCACTCCAGCATCATTCCAAGAAACTTGACCGCCAACAGGCTCGATGAACGTGATTGCGCCATCAAAAGCCATCCATGACCAAGTTGGTGGTGTCCGCCGATAATTTGTGCCAGTTGGAATCTTTTTCAGCGGTCTTGTATTGTCAGCCCGTCGCCAAAGCAGAAAGCGGCCCCAGAATGTTTTGAAAAGCCCTGCTAAGCTTCGTGTCTTGAATGCGATGGTGAATCGCTCCATCAGTCCATCAATTGCGATAGGACGGTCCTCCGGATGAGAAAACTCTAGCCTGGTATATCTCTGGAACAAATCAATAAAAAGCTTGATTTGATCCCCGACGGTGCTTGATGGTCGGATTGTGTAGTCGGGAAAGTTGGGGTCACGGAGGAAAGCTATCTTATCGCTAATGAGAAGGCATTAGTCAAGTCTACTTTGTTAATGAACAGGCTAGCTAGCTTCTTGAGCTTTACCAATGTTTCGCAACGAATTCCCTCACCACACTCCCAATAGGTCTGATTGTCTGTAAAGTAAATAGTTCTGCGTGCCAACGCGCGTTCCTGTAAAACCCATCCACGCCGGGCTAGGGGGCTGTGAAGGACATCCCGCTCAAAATCGATTGTGATTGGTGAGACAAAGACATCACCGATCTTGACACATTTTGATCGTGATTCTCGGTTTTCTAAGAAGCCAACCTTGGCACTCTCGGCATTGCAAGCAGCCAAAATGCAGTACGCACCGTTAAAAGTTGTTTGCATCTTATCTGCCTCCTCACCAAAATCACCATCAGGACCTTGTATGATGCACAGAGAATCGATCCACAGATAGGTACAGCCCAGTGCGCTCGTAATTGCAATGGCGTTCCTAAAGCTTAGTGGTAGCTCGTCCATCGGGATTTTCTTCTGGCGTTGTTCGAGAATATTTTGCGTTGTCATCGCTTCATAAGGCATACCCCCCCATCTATGAGAAAGTGCAATGTATCGAATACTTTCTGGAAGAATAGTCTGAGAGAGATCTGCCGTCGCTACGATCTTTGGTTTCTTCAGGTTTGCGACACTGATGAGCCTTGTTGGGAGGATATGAGTATCCTTGGGTGCACAAATGTCTTTGTGATTCTCATCACATTCTTCAAGCCACGCCCTTGGTAGTTTCATAAGGAGTCAAGATCCGCAGGAGAGGGGTCTCGACTACTGGTCAGTGAAGCTAGCTCCGGTGCAGCCAAAGGAGCTGTTGTATCCTGCCTTGATTCTGATACTTTTGTTAAATAGAATTACTAAACCGCGAGACCTCAATACTTACCAATCAGGCGAAGAAACTTTCGCTTGGTTCCTTTCAGAAGGAAATCATCGCCTGATCGTACTAATGAGATCTGCTGGATACCATCACGACTCTTGATGCCGTGATCTTTGGCTGCCGTATTGATTACTTCGCAGAGGTCGCACTCATTTTTTATTGATTTGGTCTCCAGTATATTCATATTGTGAGAAGTTTCCGTATGCAGTGACGAAATGTCGATATCATTGCAGTCTGTACACAATTCGGGTTCGTCACAACCGAATTTCCGGCCCTTTAATATCGACTCAACAAATGAAGGATCTTCAGGAGTAGTCTTCCACTGGTCTTTTATGTTGCTGGTATACTCACGCCGATGAGCTATCTCAGTTCTCCGTCCTTTAACAATAGGGACATTTACTCCCCTTGCATCTTCAGCCGACAATAACGAACCACTTGTAGATTGTAATGTTTTATTTGTGGCCGAATTGGTAAGATTGGGTAGAGACATGCTTGTCCGATCCCTCCCACTGAACAAATAATTCTTTTCTCCAGCGCGATCAAGAATACTGTTAAGCTGTTCCTTTAGATCTTTTGCGTTTGTACGGAAACCTTTGGCGTAGAGGTCAGAGTTTGGAGGCAGTTTAATCTTGAGCAATCTATCTCTCGTCAATCTTATCAAATCACCGATAATACCATCGCGTTCTAAGTCGTGCTCTAATATATGTTCTATCCACTCTGTAAGAGCTTCCGTCAATTCGTAGCTTCCATCTCTTCTTTTCCGCCAATATGGTGTCGCACCTTTCTCTCCTGTGGGAAATCCATTCGCGCGCAAGAAGACATTATGAGACTCGTGTCCATATAGCAACCACAATACGGCTTCAAAAATTACACATCCCATGGACCAAATATCGAATAGGCGTGAAATTTTGCCTTCAGCCTCCTCATGATTCTTCTTCTCAAGGTCTGGTGGTTCGTACCATCGTGTTCTCCAAAGTTCCTTCTCCTTAGTATGTCTCATGCTTGTCACAAATTGATGTTGTTGAGCTCTTCCCAGATCTGCGAGCTTTAGGACCCCTAATTCATCATCTTTTTGGCCAGTGGTAAAACGTAATATATTCTCCGGTTTGATATCCCCATGACGCCAATTCAGCGAGTCAGAATTTTCGGCTGCTCTTAAACTTGCAGGGTCAGAAGAAACCAAGATGCTTGGTATTGTTGCATTGCTGTCGCTGTTTTCCTCGGAGTCGAAATTGAACGTAGGCAAAGAAGAGCTATCCACATATGGTCTACCGTTATCAAAAGTATCCTCCTCCCAGGTTGCAGTATTCTCTGATGGGAGTTTAGGCGAGTTTGACATGGAATTCTTTCTGCTATTTCCAGGGGTGCGAGCACTAGTAGAATGCATTGCTTCGAGAGCCTCCGCTAGTCCATGTAGCTGCTCCGCCACTTCTTTGATCCTTCGCCGAACCTTACCAACGTCGGGACAATCCACTTGTGGCTCAGGGTTTCTCTCCCAGAAGTCAAAGAGGCTTTCGCCATTGGCCCATTCAAGTACAAGATAGTATTCGTCGAGCTGTCTGTTTGTCGCAATTTGGCGGTAGGCGGCAAAAGCTTGAATGATGTTGTCACTTGAACAATTTAGCTGTTGGTGAGCTCTTGCCTCACGCTCCCATTCTTTATGGATGTTATAGCCAGGGTCGCCAATTTTTTTCAATTTCTTCAAAGCGACCCTCATTGTCTTGTCAGGAGCGTTGACTTTATTTTGCTTACTAGTCAACATTTTCACACATTCGACTTCGCTGAAATGGCCGCTTCTTGGCGGAGTATTTGCTTCGTCAAGAACCGTGAACGGAAGAATTTGCTTTTTATCGAATTCATATTTGAATACATTGATATCAAACGTGGGGATAATAAATGACAGCCGTTTATTTTTGAAATCGTCAATTGTTCTCTCGTTCCACAACCTATGTTGAAAGTATAACATACCAAGTTCGCAGGATTCCAAGAGCCTGTCGTTGAATTCTTTCTCCATTAGGGAGGCTATGACATCGCGACGATCTTCAGAATTAGAAAATACCTGCAGCAATGTCGCAAATGTCTTTTTTGCGCGGCTAGTAATGTATTCGACTAGGGGGAAAATTTTGCGGCCACCACCAAGGGCAGCTTGTATCCTGTCTTTCCTCAACAGTCTATCATATTCCTCGTCTGGAAGGTAAGTCCCTTCTGGAGATAATCCAATAGGGTTGTTTTTCAGAACTTTCAATATTTCGTCACCAAGGTCAATCGAAGTTATCGGCAACTGTCCTGTAATTGCAGCTGGTTCGGACTCTCTTCTTGCACTTCGTACTTTAACATGACATTCTCATTAGCATGTTCTCAAAATACAAACTGAGACAACGCTAACTTACCTCGGTAATCAGAGGATTCATACGTCAACGCGGCCATTGTAGTTTGTGAAAGGATCGTAGATCGAATTGAAAGGAGAAGTTGAAACTAAAGAGAACACAATCAAGTATGCTATCGAAAGTGCCATTTCCAGTCCTCGCTATCTTTAAGAGACTGTTTAGATTTGCGATACGATGTATGTAGGATTCGAGCCCAGACGGCCGGCTACACGATATACTACAATAACTGCAGATTCAGCCTGGTAGTGCATAAATACGGGTTTGCTAGTTAACTACCCCTTAGGTCCTACATAACACTTTTGTAGAAGGCTAATTATTCCTCTGAACATCTGGATTCAAGAAACAGCACCGGTCAACTTGAGAACGTGGCACTGACTTGCATGTCAGCTTTTTAATCTCGACCCAATTCCCTGATATATCGCGCCCCTGAATAAATGGAACTGAGAGACCCGGTGTGAGGGCAGTCTACTATCGATCTGGCTAGAAAATTTTCCGATTTAGAGATACAGCTTTCGCCGCTTGGTTTCTCTGCAAAAACTTACAAGAACCTGTAACATCCTGTCAGCGTGGAAGCAAGTTCCCGTCTTGCGGTAGAGATATACTCGACCAAGGCTCTCTGCTTCAAGTGGTGAGCGTCTTGTCACCATTATACTGAGTTGCATGCCAATAGAATCCAAGGCCTGGGAAAAGATATCAAGGCTGTTGACCCAATCAGCTCACCGATTACGTGGCTGGAGATTAAGAAAGAATCCAGGCATAACAAACCCCCAAACAATGTTTGATCGAAGCAGCTGATAACAAGAGCCTCAATGTTGGCCGTCTTGATCATACCATTCTTTCAATGTTACATTGCATTCTTCCGGGAGAGTGTACATCAGAAAATTTCCTGTTAAATCTTGTACGTTCCATCAATCGCCCATCTAGGCATCATTCATCATCGTTAAATAGTGTTCCTCCTGTGAAGTAAAATCCCGCATGTATGATGAATTTAGGAGATTTTAAGATCCATTCCCAGTGTATGCGGTCATCGAAGTACTAGAAGGGACGAAGTATCATAGTAGTGGAATTTAGCTGACTGACGAAAGTGTCCAGGCGCTATCTCACGTGACATCTTTTTCTCTTCCATAGGTATGCATCATGCTAAGCTGGAGGGAAGTAAGATACAACTGGGGAAAGGGGGCGAGGTTATGTGAAGAAATACTGAATTACGGAATATTTGAAGAGTTTCTAATGCCAGCCATCGACAAAAGAAGGATTCTATTTCGAGAAAACGGGATCTTCACTCCATGTGCATAATGCATATGTCGTGTGAGGTTTATGCAAGCTGCGGCTACGTCGGTCGATGACGCCGTGTCAATAGAATATCCCCTGATATTTTGTCACTTCCCTATAACCTGTCCAAACCCCCTCGCTTCACCTTCGCCATTCCTTCCCCAAAGCACTCATTGTACTCCAATCAAGGGTACCACCATTACAATATTCCGGCCACTTCACTCTCTCCTCTCGTTCAAAGCCTAGAATTTCTTTTTAAATAAAGTTTCTTCTTTCAAAAAAAAAAATAACCTCGTAACACTAGAACACAACGTGATAATAGAGGTTGTATTGGGTATTTCTTGGCCAGGTTCCTTGTTTGGAAAAATCTACGAGGAGTGATTAGCTAGAATAGTCAAGCATGCTTCCATATGTAGCTGAGGTAGCCACTGAATTAAGACCTTCACTTATTAGACGATATATTCTAAATACAGCTGTATCTCATGTCGAATTCACGGCTAAATGGTGAACCTAACCTTCAAGCATCTGGGCCAAACTGTGTGAACAAGGGTATTCACTTCAAAGGAATGACTTCAATTCAATGGCTACTGTATCAAAGGGATTAAGCGAATGCGAAAGAGACTAGCTCTTTCAGTAGTGCCTATATAAGGCCTACTACTTTCCTACATAGCTAGCTCTTTAGGTAGAATACAATTGGACATTTAGGACCTACGAATACGTGGGTGCTACATCTTCCGTATCCTTCTCGAACCAACACAAACAAAACCAGTTGCACACAAAACAGCTTCTATGGTGAACGATTGATATCTAGTTTAGACACTTGCATATTTGAGATTTGTCAGGCACAACCATTAGACACACTTCTCATCGTATTCTTCGCCGCCACCACAGAAATTCAATAACCACTCTCCTCATCCCCACCCCAAACTTCTTTCCTCAGCCACTCCCCAGCCCTTCCATAAAACTCCCTCGGGTCAGGTTTTGCACGCGGAAATTTATCCCATCCATGCCTCACACCCATTACACACTCCAAATCCACTTCCCAACCCCAACCCTTCAATCGCTCTACAAAGTCCTCTGCTTCCCTACACAGCATATCATGTTCACAAGTAACAAGTCTCATTTTCCTCGGTAACCCTTTTTCCAACACCTCTTTGCTTTGGATTCCCGCGGAAAGTAGTTTATGCCTCCGATCAATATTCAAATACTCAGGTTTGTACGACTGATCAAAAATACTCGTGAGCCAAGATGGCAATGAAAGACTTGGATCCTTCATCCTCATTTCTTTCAGAACGAGATATCGTGCTATCGAATCCTGGATACCATGCCATGATACCCTTGACATTCCAGTTTCTATCCTTCACGACCCCTCTGTCCTTCAAATCTTCCAACAATAAAGGAATACCAAAACATAAACTTCCTCCAGCACTAAATCCGCTCAATACAATGTTTTCGGCATCAATACCCAATTCTTCAGCATGAGAAAATACATAAAGAAGGGCATCACATGCATCATAAGGTCCTGTGGGAAAGGGATATTCGGGAGCCAATCGATATGATGCAGATATCACAATGCAATTTTGTAATGTCGAGACAGTATGACACCAAAGCGAATCATCCGTGGGATTCCCGATCACAAAACCTCCGCCGTGAAAATTGAGAATACATGGCAGGGGATCGGTTTTTGAGATTTGATGGCCGTGGGGTTGGTATATGTGGAGAGTGAGGTTTCCGGGAGAGGCGGGGAGAAGTGTAGTGTGGATACGGAGGGTGTAGGTCGCAGGGTGGGGAGGTGTGCGATAAATGTAGCGGAGAATGATGGGCGCGAAGGTATTGGCGAGGAAACGGATTGTTTTCACGATGAGGGTTAGGAGAATTCGTGGTAGAGACATTTTGTGAGGAGGAGAACAGAAATTTTATAACTTTTTTGCTTAATCTTGGTCAATTTGGTGGCAGTGGTTTGCTTTGTTGTGGTAGTAAACAAGGGTGTCAGCATGGCATGACGTTAATATCCCTTCCTTCACAGCAGTCACGTCTGAATTCGATCCTGTTAATGAAGAATTCGTTTTTTCAGACCAAGCAAATCTTATCTGAAGACTTAAAAAACGGGTTTCGTGATGTGGTGTCGCTTCCAGAGAATGGCTCGAGAATGGTTGATAACGATATCGATGATGCATTCTTGCCTTGCTTTGTTCCATCTTTCAGCCGATCGGGGTAGACATTTGATTGGTCGATTGAAACGACATTCGGTCAAACAACATTCCGAGCCCTCTCCATCTATTATACATTCTTGGTCCGAATAATTATTACTACAATGTATCTAGGAAGGATTCGGACAAGGTATCAAGATTCCCCAATACACAGCAAATTCCCCCCTTCTCCACCGCACACCCTTATTCTCCATCAATTGATAGACGAATATTATAACATTAGGATTGAGGTTGAACCTTGAACGTCATTTCGACGTTTGAGTCTTGAATCTATAGTCGCAGAATATCGAAATAGGTTCCAGAAAACGGCGACTTTATTGCTATAGTGAATTGCAACTAGATCAACGATACTAGTCTACTATTGAAATTACCAATTTACTAATATTGAAATTAGACACGAAATTGAGGTTGCAAGAAGCGCTATTACCTCTAGACATGGGAATGAATTGGACTACTATCTTGTTACCTACTCTCCTATTCATTCTCTAAGGGCCCTCTTTGCTCTACTTCAAACCCAACTAACCACTCCTTGAGAAAGTCCATATATCAGCAACCCCTCTCGCCTTTTCTTACAACATCTTTGCTCTCCATACATTCAAGCCCCCCCCCCCCCCCCCTTTTTTTACCCACTTCATCTCGCTTCAGCTCGAACAGTTGTTGCTGAGCTAATTATTGAGAATAGCACCGGTCAAACCTGCACAAAGAGCTGGATTCCTAACTTTGTATTTCGCGGTACATTCAACACGCCAGGAAAAGAAGATATGTTTATATTTACTGGGGTTTAGATGTTGATAAATGACGTTGGCCATAAAATTCCCACGACATTTCAATAACCAATCTAATAGGAAATACAGGACGAGATCAAAATCCTTTCCTGTAACGATATCAGAGACGCTCAGTGTGGCGATACAGATTCTGATTCTCACAATTCCATTGCGACGATGGCGGGCGCAGTATGTGGTTTCTACACCTCTCTTCATGCTAAGGGTGGCCCTCTAGTCAGGAAGCATGCCATCCGAAATCTACAACACATCTTCCCCAACACCAATCACAAAATCCACGAACTTCTTCACCTGATTTTCCATTTCAGCAAATACACCATGAATCCTCCAATCACAATCTCCAACTCAACATCCTCATCCTCAACCACAAGCTCCCTCATCTCTATCCGTCGAATCGCCCCTTAAAATCTCTACCATACACCATCAAGCTCCTCTCCTCTCTATTCACAATTCTCCATCCTTAATCAACTGTTCCACTCACCAATCCATCACATCAAACAACACACCCTCTGTATCCATCTCCAACTTTCCTATCCCCGTCTTTCTCAAATTATCTTACACTTATCCGAACTCCCTCCCTCATACCCAGCCCCAACAACCAGCAAGACACAGCACAACACATTAACCCCCCAAATAATCAAAATCATCACACAAAGGCGCAATCTACCTAGATAGTCATCACCTTTATTTCCATACTCCCTCACATCTTCACTCCTGTGAGTATTAATCTCCAATACCTAATATCATCATCTATACCATCCATCACTTCATTTAGCAACTGAATAACTTTGCAATCGAGCAACTAAGCACCCCACTCGTGTTGTAAGGAATAATTTTATGATCGTGGTATGTGGTGTATGATGCAGATACAAAGAGTAGGTAATAGACATGAAGCGAGTACTGCTACTGATACTTATCAGATGAATGTACATGATATACCCAGTCATACTCTCTAAATTCAAGTATTATGTATGACTTTCTGAAAAGAGAAGAGTGAAGAAAACATGAGAAAAGTATGAGAAAGAAAAGAAAGGAATTATAGATGGTAATCTTACATACACATTTCAACTCTGAAACTTCATATCTCACTTCACCTGAACTCAACTTACAAGAAGTAAAATGCACTTGAGCAAACCATAACATTTATGAGTTTCTAGTAAAGTACTACCACACTAATTTATACATGTGAGAAGCGAAGCGTCTTCCTTTCCTCTTCCTCTGCTCTCCTCTTCCACCAGAGTAGCCACCCAACCATGTAAAGTTTTCATACTCTCTCTACAACTACATCTTATTTCTTCTGCCTCTTCGAACTCTTATCAGTCCCCGTACTCATCACGCTCGCGCTTCTTTTAGGCGCAGCCGTCGTGTTTGCATCGGCGTTCTCAGTACCATTGTTCTCACCATTACCCTGCGCGCCATCACCACCTTCCTGTTCATTTTCCGCTCCATTCTCTCCACTCTCTGTACTTTGCACTACAGCTGCCGCTCCTGGCACTTCACTTCCACCTTCTCCATTCCCATCAATTTTATTCTTCGCCTCCTCCTTCTCATCCCCGGTACCATCCAGTCCTCCAGCAGCTGATAACCCACTCATTCTTCTCCTCCTCTTCTTTTCCTCCAATTGCGCCTTCAACACATCGATTTCAGTTTGTAACTTCTCAGCCACTTTCTTACTATCTAACAAAATCCCAATACTCTTGAACAATTCATCGTAACCATGAGCGACATCTGCCGTGCCCATGATGGGTTTCTCAGGAATGCCCAATTCAACCAACATATTTTTGATACGACCTTGTTGAATTGCACTCTTCGATGTGAGTGGTCTAATAAGTTTTTCACCACGGAAATATGGACCTCCTTGTAAACGATCATGATGCGAGACACCGTAAACCTTTTCTTCTTCTTCTGTGAGTCTGCGGCGATCTGAAGGTGTTTGAATAGACGATATGCTTCCTTTCTTATTACCCACTGCTGAAGCATTACCAGCGTTACCTGATGGTGCTGAGACGGATTCTCGAACATTGGAATCTCGTCTTGCATCATATCCACCGGGCGTATTACCACCGACGGGAGTAGCACCACCAGGGGTTTGACCTTCTTGAATGGGTTTTCTCTTCTTAACTTTTATTATCCTGGGTGAGAAGTTGTTGACAGAGTTGATGTAGACCTTGACTAGTAATGAAAGCGCTGATATTATAACTACTTGCAGGAGCATCGAGTCTGGCGTAAAGTTCTCTTCGTTCCTCCATGAATTTCTCCGAGCGAGCCAAAATACGTTTGAGTTCCACCATAAGACTTTCTTCTTCTCGAGCTTCTTCCTTCGTACGTGTGAAAACGCCTTTCCAGGAAATCTTTCCTCCGAGTCTCTTGTAAGGATCGAAATTCAACATCTTTTGATGTAAATCGAATTCCGTGGTATTCATTTGATGTAAAGGTTTCTTTAATGCATCATAAGCCGCACCTATTGTATAATATCTTACTTTCAAGTCTTCAATAGTCCTTTCTCGTCTAGCTATCGCTCCTTCCATGATGTCTTCCGGAATTTCTTGAGGTACATATTCGTATCGATCCCATATGACCGGCCATCGTAAATCATATTCCTGAACCGTTCTCATCAAATAATCCGTTTCTTCTCTCGACCAATTCTCACTCTGCAGAATTTCTTTGTATTGTTCGTCGGTATAAGTCGGTACCTGTACCTTCACATTATACTTTGCAAAAGTCGAGTCCTCAATTATTTCCTCTTCTCTTCCTTTCCCTTCTCCCCATCCTCCCCCATTTCCGTATCCCCCTCCGCATCCTCTCCCTCTGCTTTTCCTTCTCCCTCCCCTCAACCTTCCTCCAATGCTTTAGCACCAAGCCATCCCCATTCCTCGCGCTGTTTCTAAAACTCCTCGCTTCCCATTTCGTCGCCGGTTTTCGACTTCCAAATCTCTTCTTCTTGAAGACCGCTTCTTCTGGTACAATCACAATGGGGTTATCTCCCCCCAGATTTTGAACTTCTCTTGCCAGACCTCCCAACTTCGGTTTTTGGACAACTGTTTTTACTTTTTTCGGTCGAGGGGCCGAGGAGCTAGAGGGGAGATCCAGCATATCGCGAACATCGTGGGATGTCATTTTGAATTAATTACGTAGTTTTGTGGTGCGTGAGTGGAATTTCTATCTTGTCATTTCTTTGGAATCGTATCGTAAAATAAAATGACACTTTGAGAAGATCCAAATGTAACGTGTCTGTTGATGAATTATTAGAGGGGAAAAAGATGAATTGATTGTCGAAAGATAGTTCAATGTTTCTACGAAATATTGCGATCGCGAAATATCCCAAAAACCCAACCATTAAACCGCTATCAACCGCTAACTTATCAGCACGTGAATCAACATATCCCTGTCCAAGAAGTCGCGAACGTGTTCGATCAATCATCCATTTGAATATAATAAGCCTCGAACAAGCTCAATCATATCATCCTCGCAAGCTCACTACTTCAACCCTCACAATACGCATATAACTCCCGGTAATCGAAAATGCGCACATCTCTCCCCCTCATTGGGGCCGCTATCTCCGTCCTCCTTGCCCCAGTTCAATCCCTCTACTTTTATATCGACGGCTCAGCACCCAAATGTTTCTTCGAGGAATTACCCAAAGATACATTGGTAGTAGGTCATTATACCGCCGAGGAATACGATGAAAACACAAGACAATGGAGTAAACATGATGGATTAAACATTTTTATTTCTGTAGATGTATGTATTTACTCCTCTCCCCCCTTGGCCCAATCTCCTCAAATCCCATCTATACTCTATGTCTACACATCCTACCTAAGTATACCAACAACCTACTAACCTCTCCCCATTAGGAAGTCTTCGATAACGACCACAGAGTGGTCTTCCAAACCGGTTCATCTTCTGGTCGTTTCACCTTCACAGCCGCCGATTCTGGCGACCACAAAATCTGCTTTACTCCCTCCTCCACCTCTGGCTCTAGCAATTGGCTCAGCGCATTACATTCAAATGGCGGTATCAAATTGACTCTCGATATGGCAATTGGAGAGACGAGTCAAATTGAAAGTGACGATAAGGGAAAAATCAATGATATTGTGCAAAAGGTTAAGGATTTGAATGGCAGATTGCAGGATATTAGAAGGGAACAGGTTTTCCAACGGGTAGGTGCTGATGTTTATTTGTCCTTTATACATTCATCTACTATGCTCTTCCTCATTTCCATGTAACCCCAAAGTTCATCCTCTCCTTCCCCGATTCCAACCTCAAACCCCCAATTCCAAATCCCCAATCTTCAAACCCCCAAACTGACCCCCTCCCAGGAACGTGAAGCCGAATTCCGCGACCAATCCGAATCTACCAACGCGCGTGTCGTCCGCTGGACACTAATCCAACTCGCCGTTTTGGGAATCACTTGCGCATGGCAACTTTCGCATCTGCGATCCTTCTTCATCAAGCAGAAATTGACTTAGATGTCCTTTTTCTGTGGTTATGTTTCGATTCATCAATTGTCATTTGTGGGAGAGAAGGGGGAAGAATATAGAGAGGAACAGAGAAAGCGATGAGAAGAGGAGAATGGAGAGGAGAAAGTGGATTAATGAAGAAGAGACTGACGATTTTCTCTCATTATGTTGCCTACTATGTATGTATGTTAGTGTAGTTGCTTGATTCGACCCAAAATGAGATGAGGCGGGATGAGATGAGGACTGTGCTGCAACGCACTGCTACGCATTTAAAGAATTACATGAAACTTTCCTTCCTTCCTTCTCCTATCCTTTCTGCTTTTTGTTCTCCTCTCAAACCATAATCCCCCAGACCCCAAAAGAACTCACAACACGTCATAAGCTTTCCTTATATGATCATGCATGCATGGTAAGATCGTACATGTAGCTAGGTAGGTAGGTAACTAGTCAGGAAACATTAACACTAACAGCCATACCAATATCAATACCAAAGAACATACCTACCCTCAAGCTACCTATCTACTCATTTATCTACCTATCTCCTTGAAAATCAATCTCTAAAAATCACATCTTCTTGAGGTTTGATAATTCTTCAAATTTTTAAATCGCTAGATTACTGGATTGCTAGATTACTACATTACTAAATAGATATCTATATTATATCTCTATAGATCTAAGTATTTATCTATTTAAGTATTCATTTATTTAAGTATTCAAGTATCTATATCTCTTTAACTCTAAATATCTATATATTTATTTCTATTTATTTATATCTATTTATATCTATTTATATCTATTTATATCTATTTATATCTATTTATATCTATTTATATCTATTTATATCTATTTATATCTATTTATATCTCTATTATATCTATTTATTATCTATTTATTATCTATTTATTATCTATTTATTATCGATTTATTATCTATTTATTATCTATTTATTATCTATTTATTATCTATTTATTATCTAATATTTCACTTACTATTTATTTACTATGCCCTTATTATTTACCTACCAGTCAATCTACCTATTATCAATCTATTTATTATCAATCTACCTATTATCAATCTATCCATCATCAAAAAACCATAGATATATATATACATATATATAAAAATAAACACCCTCCCCTCTTCACCTCACCTCACCTCTCCACCTCACCTCCCCTCTTCACCTCCCCTCTTCACCTCACCTCTTCACCTCACCTCTTCACCTCACCTCTTCACCTCACCTCTTCACCTCACCTCTTCACCTCACGAATAGATAGATAGATTATATCGTTATACCTCCCTACCTACCTACCTACCTACCTAGTATAATACAAGACAAGACAAGACAAGGAAAAGGAAAAGAAAAAGAAAAAGGGGTTGGGTAGTTAGTTAGCTGACTACCTAGTATATAATATCTATTTATCTACTATTTACTATCTATTTACTATCTACCTAGTACCCATCCATTATAGCACACACACATATATATATATAACATAGCATACACACATACACACATACAACATTACATTACATTCACACCTTCATCTACAAATCTACAAAATCTATACACCAAAAGATCCAAAATCCCATTATCAACAACTTCCATTAAATTATCATTTTTGCTCCATCTACTCTGCTAACCCATCTCTCTGTTTTAATTGTGATTTGATTTGATTCGATTGATTGATTGATTGATTGATTGATTTGCCTGATGCTGATATGAGATTCCACCCCTTTTGTTTCGCACGGTTCAGAAAAAAAAGAAGAGAAGAAAAAAAACAGACCCCATTACTTTTCTTTCCACATACACATTTTTCTCTCATTCGTTGCCACTGAAATAAGATGAAAAGAGTGATATGACATGCAGCCCATCCATTCCATCCATCAGAACATACAAGAAAAGGAATCTCCTCCCATCACATCTCTCAGTCCACCCCATCAACTTCCCCATATGCATCTAATGTAGCAACCCTCTCACCACAACACGCAGACAAGCAGGAAAAAAACGAATACACACCACACTCCCAATTCGCCATTGCTACAGTGTCACTGAAAAAAAAAAGACGTAACACTCCGCTCGCTCCAAAGAAGTAAGATGGAAAAATAAAGAGAACGGGTCAAAAAGCTATACATCGTAAAAAGTGTTCCCCACTACCCATTCCAAACTTCTTTTTCTTGGGAATATTGAATTAAAGACCAGCGTTTCTTGGTACGTAGGAGAGCCATGATGTGATTCGACGAGAAAAGTGGGAACATGTGATGCCAAAGAATAATATTTTGGATGGGTAAGTGAGATAGAGGTGTTAGACGGAGAGGGAAAATGTAAGAAAAACAATTATTAGTCTTGAAAGTGCTTCGCTGAAGAAGTCCCAAATGCCAGATGCCAAATTCCAAATGCCAATCGAAGGTATTTTGTTTATGATGTAGTTTCGTGTTTCAAACCCAGCTTCAAAGTCGTGGAAAAGGTGTATGTAACCACAAAAGCAAAGATGAGGCTTTTTAAGAAACGACTTGGCGGTCAAACTGATGCAACTCCGGTACATGATCTTATTTGAAACGATTTGTAAATTGAGGTGTTCATTATAACCGACATTCAATATGAAGACGGCATGGAAAGTGAAAGAGTCGAGGCGTAAAAAGTTCTTTAAAGTGAAAAATGAATTATGGACAAGTGCTCAACCTAGTCACATGTTAGAATTTTTGATTTTGCAGAGAAAATACAGACGCATACTAACCGCAGCACAGAGCTTTCATGATCTTTTGCATTGCCGTTGGTTGTGGCTGTTCTGATGGTCCTCTCCCGTTGGTGTTCAGTGGTGATTGTTGGGCCGCGCTCATCCTTTGAGGTAGATTGTTTGAGCTGTTCTGGAATTGGGCTTGAGTTGAGCCTGCTGGTGTAGATGCATCCTGAAGGCCCCCCGCCACTCCGCTGTTGCGTTTCGGGGCTAACGCACTTGGGGCGTTTTGCCGGTCGCGAGACTTGCCCATCCCTGGTTTTATCGGAGACGGTGGCGGGGGTTGTGCGGCGTTTAAACGGGCGGCAGTGAGGTGACCTGGTGTTGTGTTCCCTCCTCGAGTTGTTCCATGTAGTTCTCTTTGCGAGGCCCCTGGGACAGCATTTGGTTGGTGTAGCATGTGTTGAGATGGATGTTGCTTCATAGCTTCCCATCCCTTGCCATTGTTCAACTTCATCCAATCATACTCTCCATCTTCAACTTCACCACTGTTCTTCAAAGCCTGAGTGAAGAGATCCCGCAAGTAATCGTAATCTGGTGTATCCTCGAAACCCAAGTTCCTCACATAGCTCAAGTATTGGTTGAACTCCTCGGGGAAACCATCACAAAGATCCTTGATCGCGGTCGTTTGCTTCTTCTCACCAATCTTCTCGTACTTTTGCTTGTTGGTAGCAGCCTTCAATCCTTGCCATGGTAAACCACCTCGTAAGAAATACATGAAAACATGACCCAAAGCTTCTAGATCGTCTCGTCTTGATTGTTCCCTTCCCAGATGTGTGTTGATACTCATATATCTTGCAGTACCCGACAATGACTTTCGCTCCCGGTAAGGAATGTGTTGCTTGGTCTTGGGATCCCGGTATTGTTTGGCCATTCCAAAGTCGACAACGTGGATCACATTTGCGGCTTTCGTATTCGGTCG